GAGGAGCTCTCAGCAGCACAATGGAGAAATGCATTCACAGCAGAGTCTCAATAAGTCTCAATAACACCAGAAAAACAGTCGCTAGATTTTCACTGGTTTCTTTTCTGCATAACAGTCTCTAGAGGGTCTGAAAAGTCTGTAAATATAGCGAGAAAGTCGCTAAATCATCACCGCTGTGTTCCACAACCTGCCACCTCTCATGTCAGCGGGCAGCATGTCGGATCGATTACATTGGAGTGGTCAAATAATCGTACATTATGGGATTTTTTGGGATTATTGATCGTACATCGTACAGAGGGCAAAATTATCGTACAAATACGATAATTTTCGTACACCTGGCAACACTGCTGCTGCCCTTCTTGTCACAACCTATTATGTAGCACATGCCCTGCAGGTGTCCTCGTTCTATGATTTAGCCACAGATTTAGACTAAGCCCCGCCCATACGGTACACTGGTAGCGTCTGTGGCAGCATGGAGGAGCAGAAACGGAGACCTAACAGGGCAACAGCTCAGTCCTATATAACCTTTTAGACACATTCTAGATAGTTTACCAGCTAAAAAAAGTTAATTTTGGGATAAGTTCCCTTTAAAGCTCATATGTGAATCAAGGCAGGTGAAACTATAATTTTGGCAAGAATATTATAAAAGCCAGTTAGTAAAAGTGTTCGATGTAAAGAAGCAGCAGATTGTGTTGAATCTTCACTTCATCACAGCCTCCCATTCTGACAAGTAGGGGTCTCTGAAGAATATGGGGGTGGCTGTGTGGCAGGAGTTTGTCCTTTCCAAAAATCCCCATAAACCAGGGGTGTCCTAACGTTTTTTAGTGTGGGCCAAATACAGAAAAATAAACAAAGGGCCGGGCCACACACTAGAAGTGACATACTGATACATCAATAATGTGTGTATTTCTAACTCACCTATCAGGCTTAATGTCACTGTGGTTTGTGATTTGTGATTTTTATCCATTTTTAGGCATTTTTGCAGAAATATCGCCCGCGAGGGGCTGCACATACTTGCAGGTATAAAACCCGGTGCTGAGCTTTCAGGACCGGTTCCACCTGATCAGATCTGTTCCTTTTATTGTCTGGTGGCATCAGGTGGGTTTCTGAATTTTTTTTGCATTATTGCAGAAATATGGCCCGAGGGGTTTTTAGCAGGCAGGCGGCTATAAAACCCGGTGCTCACCATCCAGGACTGGCTCCACCTGACTGGATCTCTTCCTTTTATTCCCCTGCATCAGCACCAGCAGCCCCGTGCTGAAATTCAGCCGTTTCACCCACCGGAGCTCGCCTGCTGACATGTGATCGCTTATATCTCCGCGGGGGGATGTCCCAGGAACTTGCAACCACCACCAGGTTGTAGCGCAGATCCAGAGCTTTAAAAGGAGCCATCTTCCACCCGGATCAGGTGCTCAGAGCCAGAGCTAGAGGCTCTGCAATAAATGGACTGCTTCTTGTGTGGGCCATATTCAATTATATTTTCAGAATTTGCTGCGGGCCAATAAAATCGGTACCGTAGGCCGCAGTTGGCCCGTGGGCCATAGTTTGGACACCCCTGCCATAAACACACACCTTTGTGGACGAAGTTTAGCAGTCAGGACAAAATCAGTCCAACCATAAATCAGGTTCTAGTGACACTAAAGCTGCCTCATCTGACAGAATGAGAAGCAATACCAGGAAGTTTGGCTTGAATTTTACCTCTAATTAAAATAATTTTATCTATAAATACTGTAGAGGTTACCTACACCTTCTCATAACTGAAGTTATGAGGAATTATGAGTTCTTCTCAATCTTGATAATAATACCTTCTCTGTGGAATTATGAGGGTATCACACAATGAGTGACATAGTCAGTAAAAGTTTTATCTAAAATAAATTATATTTATTTACAGGATAAAATTAATACTTATGTACAACTCACTGAGGGACGATTAGATTTTCACAAAAGTTGAAATCAACAATTAACAATTAACTCGTGTACGTGTTAACTATCATTAATATGACAACTTTATCAGGAACAACAAACTTTTGGCTTAAGATGTTGAATAAGCCGTTGTTTGAGGCGCTATTCTTAAAGGTTTGGCAGGATTTGGGAAAGATTAAGGAGTAGGGAAGAAAAGATTGTTAAGGAGCGGAATTAAGTTTATCTTATCACTGTGAGGAAGCCAGAGACTTTTGGAGTCTCACTCAACACAGCAGGACACAGATGCCCTTCAATCAAACTGGCTCAGCCTTTACCTTTCGTCGACTTCAGTCAGGTTTGGCGTGGAGGAGTCTCACCCAGGATTAGCAAGAGATTCCGCTCAGAAACACCCAACTGTCCAGGCGATCAGACTACAAAAMGTTTGATTGTCTCAGCGTCTCGTGGTCTCTTAGCTCGTGCGAAAGGAGAGTCACAGCCGACTGGTTCCTCTGGTCAAAAATAAAAGATGTCTCACAGAAGATTTGGAACAAAACTTCCTGGAGTTGTTGTTAATTTGGTTCACAAGTGGCGGTGGCGTGAACCTGGTGTAAATTTGCTCTTTGGCAAAATGAGCAGGTCTCATCACCGAACACTGGTTTCCTGAGGAGAAAAAACAGCTCCACTTCGTTTGAAAACAAAGATGGAGACTGTCTGATCTGAGGCTCGCCCGTGTTAGTAAAACTAAAGGAGAGAGAGAGAGAAAGAGGAGAGAGGGTACTAGTGGACGTGACCTCGGAGTTTGTGTTAGTAACAGATGGAGCTGAAGTTTATTCTGGGATTTTTCAGTCGTCCTGGTAAATAGGGGAGACCGGAGACAAAAGCAACAAGGGATGGTTGCAACACGTCAATTTTCTCCAAACAAACAATCAGAGTGATGACACTCAGACTGTACATGCTCAGTTAGATGTCCCACCTTGCAAAGAAAAAGTAAACAGA